GATCCCTCCCCGCGCTTCTCAGCTGCAGGAAAAATGGACATTTCAGTCATTTCTATTTCTGACATCACAGCTCGCATAGCTGAGAACTGGGCATGTGCAAGGTGCCTGCGGGCGGGGCAGTGTGCGCGCAGCTGTTCTGGAAGGAAGCGCTTGCAATCCGTGAACTCAGCACTATGGAAATGAACTTGGCCCACACTCATGAGCATGAATAAATGCCTAACTGCCTTTCTAATCACAAAGCAGTTTTCTATCTTTGGCACTTAGATGTTGTGTAAAATAGACTGAATTCAATGCCAGATGACTGCTACACCGGCTTCATTTGAGCTTTAGCAGAAGTCTTGAGAAGCCCCAGCTACATTTCATTCATCTCATGTTCAAGATAACCTTTCAGTCTGATCCATGCAGGATAGGACATTAACCCAGGCATGGCGGGCTTAGTCAGCAGAGTTCGTCATTGCAGGACCTTGATCTCTGTGGTGGCCCATATCTGTCCTGTAATATCCCAGGTATTTATGTCACTCAAGGAGTGTGCCCTACCTTCAAATCAGTGTGGTATGTGGACATCAGGTACCGCTCCCTACAGTCCCTTTAGCCTGGAACACTGTCATTTCAACATAATTTTTATGACATTTGTGTGTGTGTGTGTGTGTGTACACATCCATGTTTATGCATGCACATATGCACACATGCATTGCCCTGGCACATGAGGGGAGATCAAAGGACAACTTCCTGGAGTCTGTTTTCTTCCATCATGTGGGCTCCCAGGGCTAGAACTCAGGTTTTCAACCTTGATAATAACTACCTTCACCCACAGAACCATCTGCCCAGGCCACATCTGATTCCTGCCCCCCCCAACACACACACACACACACACACACACACACACACACACACACACAATTTTTCCTGCTCTGGAAAGTAATTCACTTGAATATCACACCTTGTGGGCACTCAGGGTCCTTCCCATACACTTCTGTTCTCAGACTTGTTCAGCTGATAGTTACAGAGGACACAGATGATCATGAACAAGCTTACAGTAAGACAAGGAATCCACATTGGACCTGGGAAAGCAGGCAGTGTAAGTCGGGTTTGGGTTATTACTGCCTGTCTTCAAATGAGTGGGGAGACTTTCTTCAGGGATGTTGAGGGTTAGGGAGAAATAAAAAAAAAATCACCAGATAGTCAGTTCCTTCCAGGCATGAAGGAGCAAATAGGTAAAGGGTCACAGCATTAAAACGAATATGCTGATTTTTTATACATTCGATAGCTCTGTGAGATTGGAAACTTAGGAGCTCTGAGCAAGCCCGATACTTCTTAACTCCTTCCAGTTGTCTCAAGAGGTGGGCCAGTTCCAACACTGTCCCCTTACCCCTTAGGATTTATTTCTTGTTCATCATCAGAATTTACTCATCTAAAATATAGGGGAAACCACTTTTAAGTTATAGCAGAATAATTTAAAAAACACAAAAACAAAACCCATAGGCTGTGCTGTGGGTACCACTTGGCAGCTTTACCACATCAGGAAATCCAATTCTCTTCCTCATTTTCTACATTCAAAAACTAAGAACCCTAGTAAACACCATCTTGAAGGGTTACACAAGGGTTAAGCATGATAATCTAAGCGTGTGTCAACTCACTGTATGTAGACTATGCTAGTAGCCACTAGAACAGTTTCTCTCTCTCTTGTTGCATTTATTAATATCTGCTATGGAAAAGGGTTGTGCTGAAGCTGTGCATGAGTTGAAGAGGATGCTCTCTATGGTGGTCTGGGAAGAAAACACCAAAGCACTTGGCTCAGATGAAAAAAGCAACAACTTATGATTTAGTTGAATGGTAAATTTTCCGCTAATGCACAGTGAATAGTCTACCACTGAGCTGACTCTGTAACTGAGCCGAGCTACACACCAGCCCCTTTTGGTCAAGTGACAACAAGCAGGTCTTTACAACCTTGCCATTGTGCAAGGTTGAGGAGTCAGGAAGTTTCTCATTGTCACCTGAAGCCAAGATGCTAGAGACTTCTTCCAACACTGTTAACAGCCACAGGACTTCCAGCCTCCCAGGGAGCAGCCTCTGGCCACTGAGAACCTCAGAGCTAGGGGCGGTTTCTTAGGTGTCACCTGATGGCTCAGTGGTGACTTGGGAAGAAGCAAGCTTGTGAATGAATATGGAGCCCAGGGAAGGCTTCTGCGCCTCCTCCCTGAGCCAAGGGGAGCCTGCCCTTTCTTCACGGAACAAATCTGCCTTTGCCAGCCTGACAAAATGAGATAAAAAGATGAGGTTTATCAGGGGCAAAATTACAAACCCTTCCTGGCTAATTGACATGAGGGATGAGGGAGCCTACTCTAGGCCCCTGCCCTCCATGATGGCTGGTTGGGAGGAATAAACCATAGCTCTAGAATTGTGGAATGCTTCAGTTCTAACCAAGTCAGTAAAGCCATTTCTGAAATTCAGTCCTTTCCCATTCAGCAGCAGGTAAGACCATTTCTACCTCTCCCCCGCCCCCAAGTTTGACAAATATGCAATAATGGCTGATCCCTCTTGGCATTTACCCTGAGCACAGTTGAAGGGGCAAAGCAGATGTTCCCTTTGGTTCCTTCCGCATTAGCGTTCTGCAGGTGGCCTTCTGCTCGGGAGACTGAAGACAGCAATTCCAAACGGCCGAGCTGCTGGAGGGCCTCCCAGAGGACTGAGCTCTTGGGTTTTCATGTAACGATACCACACGCAACCATCATTCACGAGTATGGATCTGTCCTATCTCACTTGAAAACAGTCATTTGGCCCAGGGACACCGGGTTCACTGAAGTTCATTCCACACTGTAGCCTTCCAGGAGCATGAGTCCGGAGCTTTGTTCCAAGGCGGAAGTTACTTGTCAGGTGCCCGCCGTTCTCAGGACTGGGGGAAGTGTGAAGCACACCGCTCCCTTCGTGCTCTCAAGGGGCCCCTGCCCTCTAGGGATAATCCTCACACATGATACCGCGAGTAAAGGGGGGTCGTTAGCAAGAATGGCTGAACACTGGTGCCATGGAGTTGTGGGGATGAGGGCACGCTTTGCCCAGGAGGAGGGGCACGCAATCTGAAAGGTGGTCTCCTGAGCCAAAGTGAATGACAGCAGGATGGTTTGGTGTGGCAGGCCGTGTGCTGCTCTTCACTAAATAGATAGTCTCCGGTTACTGTCAGGGCCTGACTGAATGACTGGGCAGCTGATGACGGTCAGTCAAAATGAGATCTCATTCAGTGCCCAAAAGTTGCTCTAAATTAAATACTGAGTTCCCTCTCCTGCTTTTCCCATTGAAGAAATCCCTTTGACAACTCCAGATTCTGAGATACCTACAGTGGTTATTTTAAAAGTTGGGATGTGCTTTCATTTCCAGTCGCAGTGAAAAGGACTCAGATAAAAGGCAGACTGTTGCTAGAGATGATGTGCTGAGCTCTGGGAATCATAGAAAGGAGCCCTGCAGGACCTCTGCCTGCCCTGCTCCCTGTCTAACTCCTGTGGCCTCTGCCTGTACCATCTGCCCAAGGGTTGGAACTTTGTTTCAGAGCAGGGTGTCTACACGAAATCTTAGGAAGAGTCATGTGTGTGCAAAGCTATATTACCCAGTTTGGGAAGTGTTTTATAAATAATGTCTTGTGTATGTATTCAGACTCTTCAAGTTGTATTCCAGCCTGTGTGTACTCTATTGTAATTATGACATAATAATTAATTAATTATAATTAATCATCGTCTATCCAACTTACAAGGATAGTACCAGTTTTGGGGTTATCTTGCGCAGATTTAGCAATAATAATTAAAATATTTTAAAACATTTTCAGAATTTTTAGTGTTTTCCTCTTTATTTATTTTGAGATTTGTTTTTAGTCCATAACCTCAATAGCCAATGATGGAGGATTGACTAAAGCAGACATTGTGCCTCATCAAAACTGAAAAGAACCCAGGCCAAAAATACAAGGATTTTGTTGCTGTTTGTGTCGTTCATTGTTTTGTTTCTTTAATTTCTTGCTGCATGATGTAGACCACCTCAGCTTCTCAAGTTCTGGGATTGTAGCACATCTTAAATAGAAGTCTCTTGGATAGGGGTGGGTAAAAATTTTTTTTTGGCGGAGAAGGGTGAAAATACTTGTGACCAAACTATCTTCCTGATGTTTCTGCATTTCTGCTCCTTAAACCCCTGGAATTTGAAGACAGTTATCTACTGAACCATTATTTGCAAACTATCTTCCTGATGTTTCTGCATTTCTGCTCCTTAAACCCGTGGAATTTGAAGACAGTTATCCACTGAACCATTATTTGCAGTCAGCTTGTAAGATTTACTAGCTTGCACCCAGTCCCATTTTTTTTTTTGCAGCCATTTCCTTTTAAAAGATGTATTTTTTTTAAATTTACATTTATGTGTTTGTGTGAGTGGGTGTCACGTGTAGTACCTATGGAGGCCAGAAGAGAGGTCACATCTCTGGAGCTAGAGTTGCAGGCGGTTGTGAGCTGTCCGATGTGGGTGCTGGGAACTGAACTCAGGTCCTCTGGCAGAGCGGTAAGTGCTCTTCACTGCTGAGCTGTGTCCCAGCTGTTCCCTAGGTGGCCCCCTAACATACGCACATTTCACAGACACACACAGTTCCATCCTGCCATCTGTAGCTTTCGATTAACAGCCAGTCTGATGTCTGCTCACCGAACAGTCGCTGCATGATGACATCAAGGTGAACAAAAATAGAATTTATTGTAAGATCTTCCCCTTCAGTTGCGCTGTCAAGGTTCAAAGACTGAAAAAAAAAAAAAAAGAGAAACAGTCCTTCAAAAAAAAATCAGAGCTTAAAAAAGATGCCACTAAGCTACAGCATTGAATCTATAAAGTCCGAGGAACGTGTGGGAATTAAATTTTAAGTTTCTTCCCATCAAGCCTAGCCAGGCTCTCTGTCTTGGATGGCTTTCCAGTAGCTTGCTGCTTCATGTTACCATCTCGTAAAGGAGTGACATTTAGCCTGTGCTCTCTCGTTGGAACAGGACAGCTGGGAAGTGGTGGAAGGATTGAGGGGGGAGATGACTTACACCCAGGAGCCGCCTGTGCAGAAAGGATTTTTGCTGAAAAAGAGGAAATGGCCCTTAAAAGGCTGGCACAAGGTAAGACGCCAGTGTTGGCTGCTCCTTTGTGGGCACGCGCTCCGTCCCCCTCCGTACCAAGTTCTGAATGCTCAGATTCTGTTCGAAGTTGGAGACCAGGTGGGATATTAGCGTGTACATCTTGCTAAATTCTGTTTGCTTCCCACAGAGATTCTTCTACCTGGACAAAGGAATCTTGAAATACGCCAAGAGCCAAACTGACGTAAGTCTTCTTCCTGGCCCAGCATGCTGTTTCAGAAGCGTGCAGGCCTACTTGAAGTCAGCCTGGAGCCACAGAGCTCTGTGGGTGGTAGCTTTTCGGTGACACAGACCCCCCCCCCCTCTCCACATACCCTCACCCCTGCTCTCTTAGCTCTGGATCTGGGTGTGGTCCATTCACCACCAGGAAAAGGTGCACACTGGTTACCATAGGCCCACTCTGGTTTTAGCTAATTACAGGAACAGAGCATGTCACAAGTGTCCTTCCCACTCTGAATGGTTGACTTCGAGGGGAGGCGGGGTTGATGGGGAAAGCCAAGGTTAAGGTGGACTTTCTCTTGGAGTTAACCCTAGGAGGTTGTCCTGGAAGGTTCTTAGTGACCAGCAGGCCAGTCTCATAGGGCACTTCTCTCCTCTTTCCCTGTCCCTCTAGTCCTCGTTAGTTTCTTGTCTGTACCCTTCCCTTTAAGTCACTCATGAATGAACTTGGACAACAGACACTAATCCAGGGGAAGGTAATGGCTCTTACATCGCTTTGGAGTTACCTCATGGTGACTTTCTTTCACTTCCTTGCATCCTGACTGTGACAACTCATTATTTAGTTTCTGCCCTTCAGCCTCCTCTTTGGTGAAATGAGGCGAGTGCTTCCCCCTTGTGGAGAAAGAATACCGCACATGTGCATATCCTGCTTGCCTGGAGGGCTCTATCAGTCCTGGTGTCCAGGTTTACCATTGGTGGATATACAAGATGAGGTGGTAGGGCATGAGGGGATGTTGCAACCACCTTGACTACTGTGACTCTCAAACAGCCCTTTCCACACTCCTGTAGATTGACAGAGAGAAGCTGCATGGCTGCATTGATGTGGGGCTTTCGGTGATGTCCGTGAAGAAGTCGTCCAAGTGTATCGACCTTGACACTGAGGAGCACATCTACCACCTAAAGGTGAGGCCCCAGTCAGGGCCAGCTTCTGCCATGCAGCTGCCAAAAGGGCTTCTGTTGTCTGTGGAGTTGTCTGAAGTAGAGTCTTGCTATCTTGTCCACTCTAACTTCAAACTCCTAGGCTCCGGTCAGCTTCCTGAATAGCCAAGGCTGCAGGCATAGCTCTCCCAGTTTGGCTGTATAGAGGACTTTCTACTGCGATGGGATAGTCTACTACCATACTGCTGGTGATGACTCTGGGACATCTTGTGGGCAGTGTTAGTCACTGACGTATCCCTAAGGGATACTATTGATGTTAGGATGGGCTGGTGTTTTCTTTGTTGTACAGGAATGTCTCTCACACTGCTTGAAGAGTTAACATCCTTGTCACCATTCCCCAAAATGTTACCACACCTCCCCAGCAACAGCAATCAACAGCAAAAGCACCTTCATGGGCCCCTCTCCCCAGGCTGTGTGTCTTTAGTATATATAGAACACTTTACCTTAGATTAAAATATGTTCCTTGAAGTATAATATTTGCTGTGTGGAGCCCTGACTTATGACTTTAGTGCAAATCTTAGTCTGGGCGTTTGATGGCGCACGCCTTCTTAGTCTGTAAACTTCTTACCCACTTGTCCTTCTCCTGAAGGTGGGTGACATCATGAAAGCATGGTACTTGAGCCCCAAGCAGCAACAGTTTGTATGGGATTGCTTGCTAGCCATTTAGCTTTGACCAGTCGTCTAAGTTTTGAAAAATATTGGGACTTTTATTTGTTTCTTTTTGATTTGTTGCCTTACCAAAAGAAAAAAAAGGTGGGTCCAGTGCTCATTGGCAGGGCTTTGAGCATAAGGTTTATAAGGTTTGCCACAACTCCTTGGGGGGCAGTAAGTTTAGTAAGCTTAATTACTGTTTATAATTGTTAGGCAGTGCCTGAATGTTGGAGATAAATTGAGAGTTGCTTAGGTGGTTGCTTGATGTTTGGGGAAGGGTGGGGAAACCAAGGTTCTCACGTGTCCCAGTCTCATATCTGTCCCCTAACCTAACCCTGTGTTCAGCCCTAGTTCAGCGTGTACAGAAGCTCCACTGATACCGTGAGCTGATGATTCTTGGTTGTAGGGCTGTCCCGATTTACGGTTAAGCCTTTGCCACTGGGCGCCAGTGGCTTCTCTTCTCTCGTGGTTACAATCCACAGGATCTCCAAGTATTTCAAAGTGTCTCCCGAAAGAGAAAGTCTCCCCGGTGAAGCGACTATGGCAAAGGGGGAAACTCTAATATTATATATTTAAGAGAATATATGGCTCCCCTGCCTGCTGCCAGTGGTGAATCCCTTCTGGAAGGGTTGGCGTGGTTTTCCTGTAGTCCCATGACTCTTCTGTCTGTGTTTTCACAATGCTCGCTCACCTGTAGTTCTAGTGAGCAGACAGAAATGCCCCCTTTTTAAAGACTGAGGATAAGATGCATTGGGCTTGTTACCATGAGACAGAGTGAGTCTCTGTAAGTTTTCCTTGGTTTCTCGTTCATTCCTCAGTATCAGCTCTGACTTGTAGTGTAGGCCTGTTGGTTTCCCTATCCCTCTTTATTCTTAATCCCTCCCACCTCCCCACCCCCCACAAGGTCTGAATGTATAGCCCAGGCTGGCCTTGAACTCACAAATCTCTTGAGTGCTGAGATTAAAGGCATTCACCACCACACCTGGCTTGATCCTCTCTATCATTTTATACCTGAGGAGTCTGGGCCAGAAGAGCAGTTAAGAAACCACCCAGCCACAGTCCTGTAATTACTGTGGGGCCTATGACAGAACTGTGGTTAGTTATTGAATAAAGTGCCTTGTTCCTCTCCTTGTCTAACCAATAAAAGATAAGTCAAGATGAAGGCTTCCAGCACTGGCTTTTCAGGGCTTTCGGGGGCAGAATCATGCAAGGAGTCTTAGGGAGTTCCTATTAACTACATCTGGGGAATGAAATCCGTCCAGGGGCTCAGAGTGCAGAGAGGAGACAAATCGATGTGCGCCCGTCGTGCCTCGGCTTCCTGCAGGCAGGCGCTAAGGAGGAGCCTTCATCTTCAGGCACCTCTGGGCAACATAGATTCAGGCTCACTGTGCGTCTGCTGCCGCGGCTGTCCATCTGCACGCCTGCCTTCCCTTGGGCAGGATTGTCCCAGCACTGGCCTGGCAGGCCATTGACCCACCAGACATCTTTTTGAGTTATCTTAAATTACAGCTTTATGAGTCTATATCCTCCTTTTACCTCGCTTTTCACTTTGAGGTTATGAATATCACCTGTCCATACACACAATACACTCAGGCTCGAGAACTTGGAAACGTGTGAAGAGACAAATGTGAGGCCTAGCTTATTTGTTGTTTAGTAAAACTGTCTCTCTTGGCATTCTTAAAAGTTGCATGGCAGTTTGGAACATCTCAAAGGAAACACAAATATGTGTTCTGTGAAGATACCTCTTCCTCAAGCATTCTCCAAAACCACATAAATGTAAACCGAGGCAGTCAATTCGATTTCTTCTTTTTCATGTGTGCCATCTCAAAAAGAGCAGGTCAGGAATGGCCTCATTGTGATGAATAATTGATCCTTTTTAGCAAGTAGTTCTCTTTGACATCTCTCAACTTAACACCCTGTAGGTGAAGTCTGACGAAGTCTTTGACGAGTGGGTATCCAAGCTCCGACACCACAGAATGTACCGGCAGAATGAGATCGCCATGTTTCCTCATGATGTCAGTCACTTTTTCCCAGGGTCCTCTGTCACAGATTCTGCCCCAGGAGTGTTCGAGTCCATTTCCAGTAGGAAGGTATGATTGGGCTGTCAGGAGTGAGTCTGAGGAACAGAGAGGCCCATTCCGGGAGTGAGTCTGAGGGGAGGTTTGTGGGTGGTGCAGGGTAAGTTGGGTGGTGTTTAATTAGTCTCTTGGCCAGTGAGTCTGGCTGATAGAAGTAGCATGAATTAAGGTGGGGAGCTCAGGTAAGGAGATTCCTAAGGCTTGGGCTTTCTCCCGACCACACTGACTTTGGTTTTTTGAGCTGCCTGTTGGATGCAGCTAATTAAGCATGGGTTTAGCCACATACAACAGCAGACTCTTTCCCAACATATCTTTACTGTGGTATTGTCATTTCATAGGAGAAAGTAAGGACTGTCACCCAAGGCCATAGAGCATGGTGTGGCTTAGCTGGGTGACAGATGGAGGTATCAGAGTCTCTTCTGGGGGTCTTTGCTAGAAGGTTCTTCCAAAACCACCCTGCTGTCCTTTCCCTTCGAAGCTGTCCCTGCCACAGTCTGTTTTGATTTCTAACCTGCTCTTGTCATCCATGAGCAGCGTAGCAGTCTGCCAAAGCAGAATTCATTTCAAACTGGAAGCAGTTTGTCTTTTTCTTGTGCTGGTGACACTCGAGTTCCACTCTGGCTACAGTCTTCAGAGGACATGGAAAAATGCTCAAAAGGTAGAGAATCTGACTCTTCTCTTTCTGTCTGTCATGGCTGTGAGGCGAAGTGCGCTTGGTATTGCGTTCACGTGCATCTGTGTCCCTGCTGTCGCTCACCTGCATTCCATCCCTAACTTTGCTAATGAAGGTCTCATCATCATTAGCCAACGTGCTCTCCCCACAGAGCTTAGTACCTTCACCTGGATGCAGACAGACATTCTAGTCTCATCCTGAGAAGGATGCGTCAATTCCTCCTGGGGCCATAAATCATGTCTCCATGGGAGGGGACTATCAGCTCACTCATACTTTTTTAAGTGCCAAAATGCCTCTGCTGCCCACCCACGATGAAGAGTCAGTGTCCACTGATTAAGTGTAAGTGGCCAGGTGGAAAGCCCACGGTGGCTGTACTAGAATCGTGGAGAGAGTTTTTAAAGATTTTATTTTATTTTTACTTGTGTATATTTGTGTTGTGGGGAGGGGTATGTGCGTTCAAGTGCATGTGCCCACAGAGGCCAGAAGAGGGCATTGGGTCCCCCGGAGCTGGAGTTGAAGGTGTTTGTGAGCTGCTCAGTGTGGGTAAAGCCGGGTCCCTTGGAAGAGCAGTATACCCCCTTAACCTAACTGCTGAGCCATCTGACCCTTTAAAGTGTGGGGGTGCCCATACCTATGCCTCTGTCCCAAACATGCTGTTTAAATTAGTCTGGGGTGTGACTCTGATGACCCTGTTCCCACTGGCCCTTGAGTGACTCTGACCAGGAGAAAGGATTGTTCACCCCCGCACAAGGCAACACAGTGTTCCCAACCTCAATCAGCTAGAACTCATCCAGGGAACCAAACTGAGATTTCTAATGGGATAAAGAGTTCAGATTTGATTTTCTAAGGTGAGGACAAGAGCAAATGGAATTTAAAATTTTGAATTAAAAAATTAAGTTGAGAGCTGGAGAGAGAAAGTTCATAAAGGATTTGCCATGCAACCATGAGAGTCTGGGGTTGGTACCCAGAACCCACAAAGTCAGCTGTGGTAGCGTGTACTTGTAATCCCAGTCCTGGGGAACTGGAGACATATGGATCCCTGGGGCTGGGCAAGCTTAGACTACTTGGAAAGAGTGGCCAGTAAGAGACGTTTTCTTGAAACACAAAGTTGGTATAGTTCCTAATGAAGACCACGGGTTGTCCTTTGGCCTACACACACACACACGCACACACACACACACACACACACACTCACTCAAATGTACACACACACGTGCACACACATGTGTACATACACACACTCACACGTACACACACACACAGTTTTTAAAGTGTACTCTTGATTTAGAGACACTCTTACAGAAAGTTGTCAGCGGCAACCTTCCGTGTGTTGCGTGAGATGTGGTCCCCTCTGACCATGCAGCCCTTCCCCTCCCATACCTGTCACTCACTGGCTCCACTGACTGGCCCTGGCAAAATGGTCCCCAGACTATTGTTCTTAGAGCAGCATCAGCAGGCTGGCCTGGGTCTATTAAAAATGCCAGTTCCCAGGCCCAGACTAATTGCATGAATCATAAGCTGGGGATAGAGCCTACAGTCCATGGGATTCTGTGCGTCGGAAGGCTGAGAGCCAGGATGTTGAATCGTGTGTATCTCCATTGCTCAGCAGAGACACTGTGCACAGTGGAATGCACTGTTTCTTGAGTTAGCGCCTAGGGTCTAGTCTGACCATGCGCTTCTGTCATCTGACGCCCATCTACAGTGGCTCACTATTGTCCTGAGGCAGGTCCCCGGATACCAGTTCGGCTTAGAGCCATTGCTGCTGGACTAGGGATGCTGCTCCTGGGGTGTGGGAGTGACTGCTGTTTTCAGTTGCTGCTGTAGGCCACTGCTGGGCATTCTGCACACATCAAGTCATTTGACTCTCAGCACTATGGCTACCTATATAATTACCCCCATTTCCCATATGGGCAAACTGAGGCACAGAGACCTCACGTCACAGTTTACCAAGTAGATTTAAGTCAAGGCAGCCTAGAGTCATGTCATAAACCACTATCATCTATAGCCTTTCCTGTGTGGGGAAAATCAAATGTGGAGATGCACAGCCTGGTACTCCCTGGTGCTAGTAGTGGACAGCTGTGAACATCTGCTCTTCCTCCCCAGACCTGGCACACTGCCACGCCTACCTGCTGGAAATGAGCCAGCTCTTACAAAGCATGGATGTCTTACACCGGACATACTCAGCGCCGGCCATCAATGCCGTCCAGGTTGGCTTACCCGCCTTTCCGTTCCCCTTCTGCCTTCTACTTCCTGTCTTGTCCCCTGCCTGTGACTAACAGTGGATGCTGTCTGTCCGGTTGCTTTAGCCAAACTCAGGGGATGGGGATGGCTCTGGCCACTTCCCTGTGCAATCGTCCCGGCCGTTTTGATGGACCTTACTGTCTGTACTCTCTTTTCCTGTTTTGAAACGAAGGGTGGAGCTTTTGAAAGTCCCAAAAAGGAAAAGCGATCACACAAGAGGTGGCGGTCCAGAGCTATTGGCAAAGATGCTAAAGGAACGCTGCAGGTAACCTTTGCTTCTCCGCCAGGCTTGCTTTCCTGACCGTGCCACACGGCACACCACGCGCAGGCACCCCTGATTCAAGTAAGACAGAAAAGTGAGAGTTCCGGAGTTGACCCTGTCCCCTGTGAGGACAGTCGGCTCCTGTTAGTTACTAAGACCCTCCGGCTACAGGGATAAGGCCGTGAGGATTCTAGGGCAGGAGAGATTTTCCTGGGGGAGAATGGCTTGGCATTGGAGGGACCGCCCGTCACGAGGATTTGAGGTCTTTCCTTCTTTAACATCTTAGCTTGTCTGTGATACTCCCTGCTCTGGTGTGTGCCTTGCCTGGTGGCTGCTGTGGCCCAATACTGTGAGTTGCCTCTGTTGCTATCATCCCTCAGAGTGGACCTATCTCCTCTTAGAGTCCACAGGCCTGAGCCTCTGTCCTGCAGGCCCTTCGCAACTTTAAACTCTCAGCCCCCCTCCAGCGCCAAACTTAGATGCTTTCAGAGCAAAGGGCATTTTTACACATGCAAATGTGAGCCGAGGGTTTGTTTTCTAGAAGCTCCAGGTGCAAGCCAAGAAAACAATCCAGGAACTGATTTTCTCTGACAGCCTGGTTATGTGGTGACGTTCATTGTCATTGCAGCCCATGACCCTAAAGCTCTCATCATTTCTGAGACAGCATGTGATTTTCTGGCCATTTGTAATTTATAGGATGCAGTGGCCATGGAGAGCATCTTCCCGCGTTTTCACTCATTTTTCTCAGTGGGAAGATGCACCTCTAAGATGCCCCCTTAATTAGCTCCAGTCATGGAGGCTCTGGTCTGAGCCTCTCCCTCTGCTGTCTCTTTAGGTCCCTAAACCTTTTTCTGGCCCGGTGAGGCTACACTCTTCTAATCCTAATTTGTCAACTCTGGACCTTGGCGAAGAGAAGTGTTACTCGGATGGTTCTGAAGCCTCGTCCGAGTTCTCCAAGATGCAGGAGGACCTGTGCCATGTCGCCCACAAAGGTAAATGAGTTTTCCTTATTTCTAACATATTTGATGGAAATGTCTATCAACACCAAACTATAGCTGTCATCTTTAAGAGAATAATAAAGAGTTTTCTTCTGGAGCCAATTTTGAGCGATCATGGCCCAGGAACACAGATCTAGGTTACCCCAAATCCCCTCTTCCTGAGGGGAAGAAGTTTTATAGTTTTACAGAACAAGAAAGTCAAAAATCAAGGCATGTTTAAAAATACGTGGAGGATACACCAGAGAGGTGCTAACAGAGAGAAACTTTTCCATAGGCTCAAGATGCTCTCTAATGGCATTCTTAGTTTGTGGGTTGGTGGAAATGGGTGGTCTTTTAAGTTAACTAATTCTAAAATCTAAAAAGGTTTTGTTTGTTTGTTGTTTTTTAATCTATTAGTAACAAGGTGTTAGTTCTGACACAAAGGTTGGCACTACATGCCCAAGAGGACTAGAATTACCCCAAGATAGGAGACCTTGCCTCCAGGCCTGCAGTATGTATGACTGTGCATTTCTAACCAGTCAGCCCATCTCTGCAGACCCAGCTTCCTCCCAGGAGTTGTCACTCACATGTCCAGTGCATGACTGAAGCTGGGGCATCCTTACAGAAGCTGTCTCCAATAAGGTGTTCTGCTCCAATAAGGTGTTCATAGCCTCATCTTTATTTATCCCTTTGGTAGTATAGATGTTGCTGCCAAGATTTTCTTTATGATCTCTTGGAAGAGACAGTGAGGGTCTGGGATCTAGCTGGCAGGACTCAAGGATTCAACCAACTGAAGGCTGAAAATGTTTCTAAAGGTTGCATCTGTTTTGAGCATAGGCATGTGTCATTGTCCCCTAAACAAATCAGGACAGCAGCTGTGTACCGGGTCTCACATGTACAGGTGCTTAAGTATCCAAAAATGACTTAGCTAGCATGTATTAGAGACTATGGCGTGGCAAGCCTGCCATGCTTCACAATGGAGCGTTCATATGCTGGTGGTGGAATATCAGTTGGTTACTTTGGGGATTAATATGGCATTTATTCTACCTATTTTCAACCCCCAACTAAGCAGTTCCTCTTGGAAGAATCCATTTGTAGGAATTACTAAAAATGCATCTATGCAGTGATACCTACTCTTAGTCCTCATATCAACACATAGAAATATGTGTGTGACATTGTTAGCCATGACAGAAACACAAGTGGTACTGCGCGGAGGCCTCCCTGCCCGCTGTTTGAAGGGAAGTCTCTCAATGGAGCCATGACTCTTAGGGACAGGTTCTCTCGTCCATGACTGGTGACCATGGAACATGGTGCCTCATTCTGGAAAGTGGCCTGGCAGTGTTGTATAAAACTAAATGCGTGCCTTCATTAAAAGCCAACTCAGTGCTCCCAAGCCTTTAAGCCAGAGGAGTGAAAACAGTTATGGGGTACAGCTATGCACAGATGTTTAGGGACATCTGGGTTGTGGCTCAGTGGTAGACCCTACATGTTAGCCCACAGAACCAAAATATAAGGAGATTTATTTGTATTGACCAAATCCTAGATGCAGCTCAGTGGCCTTCAAAAGACGAACAGTTAAATAAACGGTGGTATCCATGCAATGGAGTACTACTCAGCAACAAACACGCCATTGACATATATATGTTGTATATAGATAGAATTCAAGGACATTAGCGGGATGAAAATAGCTGATTTCTAAACTTTACTGCCTGTGTGGCTTCACTTTGTAAATGATATAAAATGAAAGAAGAAATTAGTAGATTCCAGAGTTTAGGTACAGGGCAGGATGAGGAGTACGGATGTGATTATAAAGGGACCTTTGTGCTGATGGGCAGTTCTGCATTCTGATTGGGGCAGTGGTTGTAGGAATTTATTGCCAATGTGCATTGACCTGTAACCATACACACATGTGCAACGGAGTGCGTGTAAGTGAAGACGTCTGAGCATACTCCATTGCCCTAACATCCCTGTCTTGGGTTTATATTGTTAGTGAGCACAATGTTACCATGGGGAGGAAGCGGGCACAGGGCACTTCTGTACTGCTTGCCGATTCCTTCGAGTTCACAACAGTCTCAAAGTAAGAATTACAAATAACCCTGGCTGGGGTTGTGTATGGCTCAGTGGCTGGAGTGCCCAGCTAGAAATAACCCAAGTGTCCGACAAGAGGGGACTGCTCTTTTTAATATAACGTAATCGTGTAGTGGGTTATTTAGCATAGTAATAGAGTCTCACACCAAGCACCTAGATGTCATGTCAGGTGTTTGCTGAGTATTTTAGACTCACCATTTCATTTCATTCTAGCAGAAACTTGGGTAGGAAATGAAGTCTTCACTACCTGCCTGAAATCCAGAGGCTAGTAAAGCTACCCAAGGGTCACATGACAGCAAGCTTGAGGCTGGATTACAGCCTGGTCCAGGCCAGGATGTGAGGCCAAATGTTTAAATATAAAACCAAAATGCCTATACTATCCAGTTATAAAGTTACAAAACAATATATAAGTATAATGTCATTTTTTAGAAATAATGAATATGTTCCTGGCTTATGTGAATATACTCAAATATCTAGGATGTGCAGAGCATTATTTTAGTGGCAGAAACAGAAGTTCTAAGTGCTTGCTAGCTCCCCTCTGCTAATGTTTCTTTTCAGCATTCGTTTATTGACTATTATTGTTAAAGTTGTTGGGGTACCCCGAATTGAGGAGGGCTCCCCAAGCTGGATTCATCACCCCAAGAATCAAGAGTCCACGCGCCAATTGATGCAACACGCAAGAGGCTTTAATTCTGCAGATGGGCCTCTCGGTCAGCTTTTAGACCGATTGGCCCCGAGGTTCAGTTACAATCAGCTTTTAAAGACAAAACCACAAGCCTTTGGGAGGGATCCCTATCTTGTGATGGGGGGGTACGTGACTACTGACCAGGGGAAGTAGATGTCTTCCTGACCTACACGTTGTAAATTCCTCAAACCTTGGTATGAGTTAATCATCTCTCCCTAAGTAAATGGTGTTATCATCTCCTTGTTTCCCACAAATCTTGTTTGCCCATCTCTGACGCCCTGGTCAGTTCTTCACAGGTGGTCAGCAGCCCGGAATTGGCCTTTTGTGGGTTTACAGCCCTTCTGCAATTAAGGTTGCTAAACCATACATTCCATTCTGTGGTTTGGCCAGTTCCTGGGATGGGGTCCTTTGTTCACTTCCCAAGTTCTCTAGTGGGGTGCCCTCCCTGTTTAAGCTTATATTTTATTTCTATAAATTTGGGGTCTTTCAAAGTGAAATGGATGAAAACATCTCAAGTGGCATTCCCACTAGTGCCTTCCTCTCCTGGCTCCAGACTTTTTCTCCCGCTTATTATTATTGATTCCTGCAGAGAGTATTTCCTGCTTCATATACATAGTCTTTCTTTCTCTCACCTGACAAATGTAAAATCCATTTGGTTGTGAGATTGGTTATAGGGCAATTGCGTCATGCTTGTGACAGCGTCCTTTGCTGGCCAACATGTGCATCTCTCAGTGTCCGGCAGGACAGCTGTCCATATCTGTGAGAGCTGAGCGTTCCCTGGCTGGGCCTTCCCAGCTCTTCAAGTGCCTCATGGGCATTCTTTAGAAGGTCCTTGCAACGGGGACATTTTAGGATTTGTGGGAGGAGGCGTGTTAAACCATCATTACCTTTTAATAATGCATATTTAAACCTGAGGAGCCGGCTCCCATCTCCCACAGGGAGATGTCTAGGTCTTACCTACACTGTTGGAAACAACTCGTCAGCCAGGTACAGGTTGCCGTCCACCCTGAGTGTGTCCACTGGTCCTGGCTCCCTACAGTGGTCTCCCTGTCCTTGCGGGTCTGTAGTCCCCCCACACCAGCTGTGCTGTGGAGTCTTTGTGAGACCAGCAGGCTGCAGAGGTGCCACTTACCTCACTGAGGTCAAGGTTTGTGCTCCAGCAGCAGGCCAGGTGCACCGTCCAGCCAAGCCGGAGCCTGTTGGGTTCACAGCAGCCTAGCCAGTCTCTTCTCCCTTCCCATGGCTTTCAGTTCTGCATGCATGGCTCAGTCCCCTCTGGACTCTTCTGCACCACTAAGAGGCGCCTCGTGGAGCAAAGGCCACACACAGATTTGCCCTGAGTCCTAGCACCTGGTGGCCTTTCATTTATCTGCACATTCGGACTCAGCTGTGGTGGCCTTCCTCCCCGTGTGAGTCTTGATTGGTTACAGACACTGCCTATTGTCCTTTGATTGCCTCAGGCGTCTCTTGACTGTTATTTTGAAGCAGCTGAACTATAGTCAAGAATTTCCATGGATGTCACGTAACCTGTGTACCATTCAACATGGCACACAACATCTGAATTATGCTTTTGTAGATCACATGATGCGCAGCCAGCAGAGACCCATCCCGGATGTAAAAGTTCTTCTGTACATTCATTCCCAGGCATGCACTGAGATGTTGCTCTTGGTTCTTATTTCTGGCTTTGTGTACGTCAACACACGTGTAAACAAGTGGAATGTACACCCTAAAGCCACAATGTTTGGTGCATATATTAGCTTTACATGTTTCAAAAACGCATTTTATGGGATTGAAAAGTAATTCACAAGATGAGTAAAAGTCAAAGGCAATTTTGGGATTGAAAACACCTGGAAAATGCTGCTGACTGTGGCTGTTTTGGCTTTACACATGAAACTGCAGGTGGGAAAATCTCTGGAAAGGCCTGCAGCAAGGGAACCCGGCAGCTTTGTTAGGCTTTGCTTTTCAGTGTTATTTGTGAAATTCCCCCATTGGCCCATGACCATCTAGCTGGGAGCGTGGTGGCAGCAGATGAGCAGGCGTGGCACTGGAGCCGTAGCTGAGAACTTAACGTCTTACCCACTATCACCTGGCAGAGAGCCTTGGCCGACCCCAGTGATAGGCCACACCCCCTCAACAAGGTCACGCCTCCTAATCTTTCCTAATGCCACCTTTGGGAACCAGACTTCCAAGTATATGAGCCATTTCTCATTCAGACCACCACAGAAGGCGACATCTGCTTCCT